CTACCCCTCCCCCCTGCCATATAACATAACATAGGGAAGAGTATGCATGAGGTACAGTCAGGTAAAAGTGCATAAAAATATTTCAGTCCCTTTTCTTACGGAGTTGAAGCTAAGCTTTGGACACCTCTCTGGCCGGACCATAGAAAAAATATTTTTGTCAGCAATTCATTGAAGATTTGGAGCTGTACTTCAGCTCTCACTGTAGTACATACCACTAGGATTGCTTAAATGAATTTACAAAGCCACGGTATTTGCAGCAGAGCCAGTACTCTGTTGTAAAGATTTGGGTCCCTTGTGCCGCTGTTAACAAAGTTCATAGCAACCACGTTTAAGCGGCTGTTACGGCATTATATGGCTGAGCCGAAACACAAACTGTTCTTCCAGGAGGTTATGCTCACTGCTAGACTCACAAATGACTGAAATTAAAATGTTCTTACTTTTCAAGTTAAAAATATTACTTTATTCCTGCCTGTGTTCTTGTTTCTCAGCTGGAGCATCCGGTTTTGTATTACACCAAATAAAAAGTGAAGGCCACGTGTATTTATTCCTCTTGGCTGGGCTTTCTTGCTGTCAAATGCTGCTTTTAGGTATTGAAAATCTTTCTTTGAATAACCAGGCAAGTTTTGGTTATGGGCAAAACTCTTATTCATTATTTTATTCCCTTTTCTTTTATTGTGCACTGAAATTTATGACTTAATGTTCCCCGCAGTTAGTATTCAATGAATTCCACAAATAAACACTTATGATGCTCAAGTTATTTTTGCAGTTGCTGCCATGAACCGTTAGGACAGAGAGAGGACATCCAGGACAAATATTTGCATTTGAGGCCATTGGCTGAGCTGTAGTCTCTCCCATGGGGTCCTTACTACTCCATTTGGCTAGCACATGTTGGGTTTTCTACTCTTTACCTATCACAGGAGGGCAAGCACGTCTCTAAAATCTTTTTTTTTTTTTTTTTTTTTTTTTTTTTGGTGAATTGGCAATTCCTCCTCTGTTCATGATCCCATAGTAATGTTTAGAGTCCAATTTTTCTGTCTCTAAGCTGGAAAAGTCCTTAGGGGAGGTTTAGGAGGAACCTCTTTCCAAGTGTGATGCCTTTGGCTTCTCCCTCCAGTCTAGCAGTGTTTCTGTAGAGAGATTTTTGTCAGAGGAAATCTGAGATTATTCTGAGCAGTTTCTCAGAGCTCCTTTTTTAGAAGCAGCTGCTGGTAGGAGGCCTTTTGCAGTTCCTTTCTGTCTGCCACATACTCCTCTCCCAGTTAAAGTAAGTGGAGGGAAGCATCTTTAAAGGCAGGATGCAACTTTCTGGATCTTTGCTGTCACATTTGCATACTTCTTGAATCACTAGATGTTTGGTAGAAGACGTGGATTTTCTACTGGGGAAGAGTCTGAAGTGTTGGCTATGCTTCCTGAGAAGGGTGGGTTTTGGGAGGTAAGGCCTTAGTTTAGCAACTTCAGAATCTATTCAATGATGGAAAGCCAAGCCATCCACTTCCTAAGCAGTTTTTGAAACAGAGGAGAGGTATTTTGCAGATCAGCAGAGTGAAATTTTGAGACTATAAGCATTGATGTGTTTGTAGATTGACAGCATAACAAAAATTGCCTCAGAGCTTGGAAGAAAGGGAGGTAACAGTGCTGTGGTGCAGGCCTTAAGTGTGTCTTCATGAGTGATACACTTTTTATTAAGTATTTTCTGTAACATGCTATGAGCTAAAAAATAGTTAATAAATTTTAGAAGGAAGTCAGTTCTATAAGGAATGTCCTGGTCAAATTTTGTATTCAGATTTTGTATGATCATACCTGTTTATCCAGACCAGATGGTCTGAAAGCTCATTTCATAAAGCTTGTGGTTACTTGTAAGCATCAGAAATGCTTCTGTCTCTGAAATCTGGGAAGTTGCATAGTGTAATTCACACATTAAGTAAATATTCTCTTGGTTTAAGAACCGATACCTCCTCCTCTTTCTGTTTTAGAAGCTTGATCCTCTAAACAGCTCCAGGATTTTTTTTAATGTTGCTACCTTTGCCATCTTTAATATTAGATGCTGAGTAGCACTTTAAAAGAGTATTAATTAACATATATTAGTCAATGTATTTTTAAACTGCCTCTAAACTTCTAGTCAACACAG